TGATGCAATTAGGCGAATACCCCGTGGTTACGAAATGTTCCGATCATGAATTCCTAAAGAGCAATTCAGTTACCAGCTTTTCACAAAATAATGCTGTGGAAAATTACAGAAAATACCAAAAAAAGCAGGGGTCAACAATAATTATGGCCTGGTCCCTTATAATAATGGAGTGGTCATGATAAAGAAGCCCATCAGTCCCAACTTTGACCACTCAAACAGATTTCTGACAGGTTACATACTGCAAAACTTTGCATTCAATGATGCCTATGTAATTGCCACACCAGGAGCCTAGAAATCGGCTCCTGGTCACACCTTGTTTTAATTGCTGAATATCATTCTAAAGAGCTTTACGAAATATTTTGTTAGTAGGGGTGTTTTGAACATGATTGATATGTAGAGATGCTGACAAAAACGAACACAAAAAAAGTCACAGAGCGAGAAGCATGAAACAACTGCAAATTAATATTCGTGTTACACCGATATAATGGCTTGTTTGGCTGCTATGCTGACGTTCTTGAAGATGGAAGTAGTATCACAGCTATTCCCGGGTTAGATATACCGTTTATTACCAGTTTCACGGTTCCTGAGACTTAGGGCCTGTTAACATAAAGGTGGGGGACCCCAGGTAGGTGAGTTAACCTGCTTAGGTGGGGTAAAAAATAACCCCCCTTTACATGCAATCTTACAACCCCACCAGCCTGGGGTGCAGTTTCTCAAGATTATTGAATGGTCGCTAAGCACGTAAACAAGAAAAATGCTGGCAAACCACGTCTACGCTCACTTGCTGCTCTTGCTGCAACCTTCAGTGTTGTGGCTTTCTATTGTTACCTTTAATAATTATGTGAAGCCACCCGGCGCCAAAGTGAATTTTGCGCGAATTTGATGTATCACGAATCCGACCCCGACTAGCCTGGGTTACCTCACCTTGAAACGTTGACATGGCAAAATTTGACCTCAGCTGAGAGGGTTACCTGGTGTGGCAGACCGGGCTACCCACCTTGAAGGGTGACCCCACCTATCATGTAAACGTGATCAAATGAAAATGAGAGATTATATGGACAGGAGGGTTACCCCACCTAAGTGGGTTACCATGCCTACCCGGGGTCCCCCTCCTCCATGTAAACAGGCCCTAAAAGTTAGCCCGGCCCCCTTTCTACAGTTTCAGCAGTTAAAACATTCACCATTTATCATTTGAGTCAATCTTGTACCACTTGAGTCTCACTTTTACGACTTGATAAGCTGTTATTATTTTTGGACATGAGTGCTTCAGTGCCAAATGTAGAGGCTTCATGATAAACTGTGCTGTTTTTTGAAGCTTGGGCTAACTTGTTTCTTTTTTTCGTTTATGAGACCAGATTCTTTTTTGTTTGTTTTTGCTTTGTAAAGCTTAGACAAACTGCGGGAATTGTAAATGATATGACTTGTGCCACGGTGCTTGCTTCTCTGTCAAAACATGCACTTGCGTCCAGCAGATAACTGGATAAAGAGAGACTGAAAGGCATCCAGGCCTATGTTAAGTTGAAAAATTAATTACCTCCCTAGGAAAGATCTATTTTGGTTTCTGTTATTTCGTTATTTGCTCTTCATGAATAGCTGTCATAAATCCCTGATAATATGTGATACAACAGACTCTTCGACAATTTCTTTTTTTTGAAATTTTGTGTGTGAATTGCTATGCCATACGCTTTCTTTAGCTTAAAGTGACATGTAATAACAAGTAATACTTGATAAATACGACTTAAGCCACTCAATAAGGCCTCCTCTAATTGAAGTACATTAGAAAAGGAGAAGAGAACCCCAGAAGCTGAGTACTTGCAAAGTTATGAAGCAAAGACGAGGCCATGTTAGAAATGACTTATGAAAATGTGGGCGGACTGTGGACTTGCTTTAAAGGCACAGTAATAATCAACTTAATTATACAATCAATAAGCTAATAATGGATGGGAATGCCAGATGTTCGAGTGAAATTGTTGTTTACAACATGAGAATAGCATTCAGAGTGATTTAAGGTATTAAATAACAATTTTCAATCAAAACACCACAGGGACCCAGCAGGTGAAATTTACAATAATTAAATCCTGTTTAGCACGCTTCAATGGCATATTTGCATTGGGCATCCCCTCTAATATTCATGGTACTGCAATAAGCTATCGCTGTGCAAAGCTTGGTGCTTTTGTCAGCTCTGTAACGATCCTGACCTTAAGAGACCTGACTAATACAAATTGCTATCATTCAATATTCAGGACGATCGAAGCACGCGTGGGCTTTAGCTAAACCGTTAAAAAAATTTCCAAAATCACCTATACGGCCAGCCGGTTCTGACTTTTGCAGTGCTAGCTGTGGCGAGTGTTTGAATGAACATCAACACAGTTAAGCTCCAATATAATAAAGAATTTATTATGTTTATTTTTTATTTTAAAATGGTTTAACGCGCGGCATTTTGAGTACTCTGGGAAGCGTTGTTCACTGAACGACTGAAAACAATCGGCACAACGATTAAAATTACAAGAGAGACTACTAATAATCGATAAAAGAAATAAAATTCGGAGAAACATATACAGAGACGACAATTTCCATTCAGGAAGACAAGTATTAAAAGTGTGTCTAAAAATCCTGAGTCTTCGAGCTTAAAGCTGAAGTTTTTGTTTTAAGCCGGCTTCCCGGTGTTTGCTTTTTTCAAAGACGAACTCGAGGCAAGAAAATCGCTCAAAGCTTCTTTTACAGCCAGAATTATAACTAAAAATTCTTTGGAACGTGTTCTTTCTATTTGCGGTGAGAAAATGTCTAAAGGCTTTTTAAAGATCTGTAAGCTTATATAAACCTGATACTCGGTCAGATCATTGTCTCAAATCTTACAAACGTGCGTAAACAAAATAGCCGCATAAACTACGTTCGACTTCATTAAATTAGAAATAAAAAACAAACATCAAATACAATAATTACTCAGGCTTACCACTCGAGATGCAGCTCGTCAAAGGTATCAAGTAAGGCCAGTATCGCTTCAGACTTTGAAACCCTCTTACGCATTAAGCAAGGTGAAAACGAAAACGACGCATCGGATTTCCAACTTTGACAAGTGCCCGGACAAGTGACGTATTTCTCAACCAAAAACCCAATCAAGAAAGTAGCCATGAATAACAGAAGACTTCCGATAGCAGCTGAATTTCATTTTGTACATCCAGTGGAAAAAGACAGTTATAAACATCACAAGTTGACACAAAACTCTGTCAGCTTCAGCTGTCAAAGTAAAGAAGATTCAAGATGCTGCCTAAATTTTCCGCACGAACTCACCTGTCAAATTTTGAACAATCAGAGCATAAAAATTGGACGTAGAACGTGACCAACGCGTGAACATGGTGAGAAAAGTCAAACTCAACTGTCTTCCCTGCCTGTAGCAGCTGCCTGCATTTTCGCGTCCGAGGTCAGTTTGAAATCAAAATTTTAATTGTGGGGCACATAAACACAACATATTTCATATGAATTTTTTTAAAAAAAATTATACTTGAGCCTGCGATCATTTGAAAACCAGTACCTTGTCAGCGGATAACTTCAAAAAAATACTTGACCTCGATGGGTCGACACCTGAGCCCGAGATTCGCTCAAGTGATACTGGTCAGCGGATACCTTGTTTTGACAGCTGTCAATTGATCACAGCATTGATGTCCAATATGTGTATCAGTTTTCCTGTGCTCCGATCCCAAACTAGCTAAAAAGTATGAGATTGAACATTGTTCGCGATCAAGTAAAACGATTAACTGGTCAGCGGACAGCTTCCAAATAAATCACGTCACCTCGATGAGTTGACACATGAGCCCGCGATACGGTCATGCGATACTGGTCAGTGGCTATTCTGTTTTGACAGCTGTCAATTGACCATATTGTGAGTGTCATATATAAAAGATGAGGACTTGCGAAGACACGCCTGAGACACCCCTCCCTTCCTTTTGATAGTCTCCCCTACCCTACCCGTACAATCTGTAGACGCGTACGTACGTACGTAAGTACGAACGCTCGGTCAGTCACGTGACAAGCAAGCGAAAAGAGGTTGACCATATTCCATGTGTATGGGGCTCTGTCCCACGCGCACTTCGCGCGCGCGGGAGCCCCGCTATAATGCGTTGTGTCATCAGCATACAGATGTAGGGAGGAAGATCCAGGACATCATTCACAAAGATATTAAAAAAAGCGGACCTAGAAGGCTCCCTTGCGGCACTCCACAGCGAAGAGGCCGCCAGTCTGACACCTTTCATTACATTTTACTCGTTGAAAGCGGCCCGATAGATATGACTGAATCAGTTTTATAGCTGAATCGTGAACGCCGTAAGCTTTCAGTTTTGCTAGTAAAAAATTATGGCAAATCGAGTCAAACGCTTTGGATAGGTTAATAACGACCACCGCAACATCCTTTTCATTGTCAAGAGCCTGGCGCCAATCATCAGTTAGCTTTAACAAAGCGGAACACCAAGAATGCCCACGCAGGAACCCTGACATATTATCCGAAAAGACAGGTGTGAATACGCTCTAATATTGATCAAATTTTAGTATCTCAAACATCTTGGGTATAACTGATAAGACACTAATAGGGCGATAATTCTTCTTAGATGTTTCGTAGTCTTTCTTATGAACAGGGGTGACGTTACTAAGTTTCCATTGACATGGCCACTCGCCTGCGTCAATACAATAATTACAAAGTTTAGTAATAGGTTAGGCTATGACTGGAGCGGCAATTTTAAGCAGCTTGGGTGATATTCCGTCGGGGCCGGCTGACCTCCTAATGTTTAGATTAGAGAGGACTTCAGAAACTCGGGCCACACTAACGATGAAAATAAAAACTAAATTTGGGTACCTTCGTCTCAATACTGACAACCCTGGCGTGGCTAGAAAATCATCCACTGGACGGACAAGGTTAGGACGGACTCATTAATTGTAGGAGACGTAAAATATTCATTAAGAGACCCACTGGTGTCAGGGACAATCCTGCCATTTTCAAGTTATCAAATTGAACTTGTATTAACACTGGACTTACTATTTGGTAGGAGTGGTCTCAGTTAACCAGAATTAACCAGGAGAGCATCTAGAAGAAACAGACGCTGTATCAGAACAGAAATCTTTAACTGACTGTCTTTTCACAGCTTTGACATCGGTAGTTACTCCAGTTTTCATTCGTAGGAATTCGGCCGAATTTCTTTTACAAAAGATTCATTTGCTTTTGAATAGCAGGGTTGATCAACGGCAGGTGATTGCTTTTAAAGTTCACGGGTTTGATTGGAGTATGATGATCAATAGCTTGCTTGAGAAGGCTTTCCCAGTGGCACCAAATATCATTCACATCATCGAATTTTGTAAGCAGTGTCCCATCGGATCTCACTTAAGGACGAAAGAATGGAATGAAGAGCAGGAGAACTCTTTTCAAAAACTAAAACAGCCGATCGCAAGCACTCCTGTTGGCATCTTTTGATAATGAGGCTCACACGGATAACTGCTGACGCCAGTCCAGTTGTCCTGATGGAGAAAGTAGAGCTGTGTGTTTTGTTAGTCGTACCCTGAGTAAATTTGAAGGCCGGTACAGTTAGACTGAAAAGGAGGCTCTCGCTTTAATCTGGGAATGCGGACGATTCCATTTGTATGTGTATGGACTGCTAGAATTTGCTCTTTTTACTGACCATTTACTCAAGCAAGTCCAAACCGTCACCCGGATAGAATACTGGATGTTGCGCCTTCAATCGTACAGTATAAAGTTTCGTTATGTACCTTCCCGGAAGAATATTGCAGACGCTTTGTCAAGGTTAACAAAGACAGCACCAGGGGAACAGTCTCAGGATGATGATGAGTATATAAGGGCAGTTACAACTCATGGAGAAGTTAAGAGACAAAATAGGGCACTTTTGGAGTCCGTCAGAGCTGCTCATTCTGACGGAAAGAATTGGAGAGAAGAGCTGAACAAGTTTCTTCTTGCATACAGATTAACTCCACACTCAACTACGGGGAGTAGCCCGCCTGAATTGTTGTTTAAACGAAACATTTCCACAAAGAGGCCTGAGCTCATATGTATTCACGAGGAGGAACTTAGGGCGCGTGACCAAAGTGTCAGAGATCGTGATGTCTCAAAGGAAGCAGTCTAATAAGGAGTATGTCGAAAAGCGTTTACATGCTAGAGAAAGAGAGGTGAAGGGAGGAGATGCTGTCCTGTTGGAGACGAGGAAAGAAAACAAGTTGTCAACAGCCTGCGAGAGAGAGCCCTTTACAGTGTTGTCTAGATATGGGGACCTAGTTATTTTGTAGTCACCCTAGAGTTTCCAGTATAGGAGAAATCTACAGCATGTTAAGCCTTTTTACTCTCCTGAAGAAGGCTACCAGGCAGGAATTGAGGAACCGGAGCTTGCCACCAACTCCTGAAGCAGAAGTACACTCGCCAGGGGTTCCTGTGCAGATGCCGGAACAGCTACCTGCTGTTACCATGCAACCACTTGCAGTCAATCAAGAACCACCAGGGGTACCTGTACAGAGATCTGAACAGCCCCTTGCTGTAAGGAGGTCGGAAAGAGTTAAAAGGCGACCAAAGGCACTTCTGGATGACTATGTTCTGCATTGAATTTGACTTTAACCTGATCACTTGCATGTTTCTTTATATGTGACCAGACCAGGACTTTGACCCCCAAAAGTTTGTTTTTCATGTTTGTTTCAAATAAGACCGTAATATCTTTGAGTTGCTGCAGTATATGTACGTTTTTGTGCGAGAAGGAGAGGGAATGTAGTGTACAGCGGTTTTCCGTTACTTCATCCGGGACTTGCATCCGGGTCGATTAAAAACGAGAGCGCGTGAAAGAGTGTTGTTCACTCAGTGTTAGGGCGGCCATTCAGTATTCTTTTTGCGCCTTTGTGGCGGGTCTTCTTATCTATACTACAGTGAGAGCTCTTGCTTCCCACCAATGTGGCCCAGGTTCAAATCCCGGCTTTGACGCCATGTGTGGGTTGAATTTGTTGTTGGTTTTCTCTCTTGCTGCGAGAGGTTTTTCTCTGGGTACTCTCGTTTTCCCCTCTCCTCGAAAACCAAATTACAAATCCCAATTCGACCATGGATCAGGTAGACGAAGAACCACTTTGTGGATGTGCTATCTCCAAATCGTTATTTATTTTATTTTTTAATTCATTCATTCATTTTTTGAAATTCTTTTGGGCAATAACTGAGGACCAGCCTCTAATGTAAAGTTAGTGTCCGATGACCTTTTTTGGGTACGATTCCTACAAGTGCACCTTCTGCATAACTCGAAATGAGGCAATCTCAAATCTCCGTTCCCTTTTTTCTCTCCATCACCTTCCTACGGGTGTATTACTGAACTGGATTTTAAATATCAGTGGTAAGATAAATGAATTTCAGTTGTTATGGATTGGTCACTAGCAATGCAATCCACTCACTTGATCTAATCGAAATAAATCAATAAATACTTTATAATATAGTAGGAAATGAAAAAAAACCGTACCTGTTAAATACTTCGCTTCATTTTCTAGACCCATCTGTTCATAGATACACCATTCCGGTGAAAGGATCACTTTTCTAGTTTTATCAACCATCGGGATCTCCCTTGGCGTGGGGATAAGCATGTTAGGCGCATGTCCAAGGTCGGGTACACTTTTGGCACGGAAAGGATCCCAAGTCCACTTGTTAGACGAGAACACAAAACTAAGATCCTCACCAGCTGTGTTTGCTATGATTTTTGGCATCAAGCCTTCAGCAGCAACATACCAGTTCGGTGCCAAGTCAGTGCGCGCCCTTACGAAACTGCTGTTGAATTTTAATTTAATGTGTTGTCCCGAAGCAAATGGTTTGAATAGATCCAGAGGCTCTAACTTATAGAGACATCCATTAATATGCGTCAGTTTTAAATTGCTACCACCAGGTAGAACATAACCTTTAGGGTTATTGGCGAGATGGTCATAATCCAATACTCCTAACATGCAAACATATACTGCCCATTTACCCGTTGTTATGGGACTCGACCCTTTGTTATAAAGTGTTATTTGTACAGTATTAGGGGATAACACATCGAAATATATTTTCATGTTATCAGCCATGCTGTCGATATCTGCTTGGTTTAACAATGTAAGGCTTTCCGAAACAGCTGGGGTAATAGCTGGTTCACCTGAAAAAAAAAACATTTTTCTCAAATTAATTTTCATTATACGAGTTGCCGCAATACCTTTCTGACACTGACTAAGGAACAGTGTCCGTGTTTAGTGGAAACACTTACACATAGTGACAGGAATACGGTTGCAATTACGCATGTAAAACCCTGTTGGTGATCCAGACATCCCTGGGTAAAAACTTGTTGTCCACGAGGGTTGCATACAGTCTGGCGTTCTTAAAAGTTGTTTTTGTGTTGAGAAAAAAAGCAGCCCTCGTTTGCAGCCCATAAGGGATTCCACAGCCATTACACCTTTTCATATATTTTCCTCCTTACCGCCCTGCAAACCATCAGCGAGGGATTGATCGTACTCACATCATGTTACAACAGTCGGCCGCACACTTTGTTACTAAAACTCCTTCACTTTCGTAAAGGATGGTAGAGCGAGCTAAACACGCCACTGCGCTATTGTTACTTGGGCTGGAGTATTCTCAAAATCATCAGTGGAACAGCAACATGACCATCAATTCAAGTTAATCCTTAAAGTGACTCTTACTCTGTTAGACGATAGTCTGTTTCAGTATTGTGCTAATGCCTGTATACAAAACATTGACCCCCGGTCTATAGACCACCCCTGTGAACCTAGCCCATGGATCCCTTCGTGGACCTGGTCCATGGACTACCCCTGTGGACCACCCCTAGTTTTACCGCAGGTTTAAATGGATTAAATGAGTTTTAGAAAACTTAAATGTACAAAAAGGCTGTCAGTTTATATTATCAGGGTTATGGGCTCTTCGAATTATACACCCGTTAAAATTTTCTTGAATTCCATTTATGGGTTTGGTTTAGTCTCGTGAAGGAGTAACCTTTGGGAAGGGAGAAGAGGTATGGAGGAAGCAGTCCCCTACGAAGACGAATTTTTGTGTTATTGTATTGCATACCCCCCCTAGACTTATTTATCGGCAAACGTATTGAATCCTGCTTACAGATCAAGCACAAAATGACCTGCATATAACTGTTACATGTCTATATCTACGTTGCTTATCAGATGTCTGACCAACCACGTTTTTAAAAATAAGCTGTTCATTTTGTGCTTGATCCGTACCAAAAGCAGTATTCTACTAGTTTGCTGACGAATAAACATTGCCAAGGAAAGGGAAAGGGAGTCTCGGGAGGGTACTCAGTCAGCAAGCGTTACCTCGTCCTTCCTAGTCTCCTACACAGCCGTTGTGTTGTCACGCATCACAATGACACAAAAAAGCTGCGTAGCAGACTATTTTCTCTCCTCCCGTTCCCTTTAAATATTGGTTCTCCTTCACCAAACTAAACCAAAACCCATTACATTGGTATGGGTCCATGTTTAGTATACGGGCCTGTTGTTTTGCCCTAGCTTTATAATGCTTCCCCGTATCGTTTTACTAACCTGAGGAGGATGAACCGGTTGGAAACTGATCGGGTGTCTCTGAAAAGGAAATAAAGTCTATTTATTGCGATAATAAATTAAAGAATATTTCCTACATTATAAACAATTGCTTTGTTAATTGCTTTCTTACCCGTCTCGTAAGAGACGTAAGATGACCATACCAACAGAACCAACAGCATTCCCCCGTGAGCAAAACAGATGCATTGAAACTTTCTTCTCACAGACATTTGCTTGAAGTTTGGAATCGCAAATAAATTCATGTTAGCACGATTTATGGGTCTCTGTGAAGAAATTGGCGCCGGAGTTTTCCCAACCAATATTTACATGCCATGTGTTTGTTTAGCGTTGCATTTTGATAATTAGCTTGACGTCATCAGTAACAAACTGCTGTCTCACGTCACGAAATTTTCAAACCTGTCCTTTCACTCCTGTTAGCAGCATTTTATGAATTACACAACACAAAGAGCTTTTTTCAAAGCATTAAACATTTTTTGCAATAAAATGCCCTCGAGTTTGAGGGGAAAAAGCTATACTTTTGTGGTTAAAGGGGCTACTATGTTTATGTCATGTTGATATTGCGGTTTTACGTCAATTTTATACGCAAGTCGTTATTTAGTGCCTTTAGCCATGAAAAAATGATCCCGTGGCGGAAAAAAGAACATATCATCATATATTTATCAGAAAGCACTCATCATCATCATAATGATTTTGGTGATTTTTGCAGGCATAGCATTAAAACTTGAAAACGTTGGGCCAACGTTTTAAAGTTTCTATTCATGTTCGTCCTTGCTATCTACTGCAACAGAAGTTAGGAAACAATTTCAATACCTAAATATAGCCTTGAATGACAATTATTTTTTAATTCGTTGGCCGTCGAGCGAAACGAGGTTTATAATTTTGTTGGAATTCGCACCGCACGTGACTCTTCGCTAAACGGAGTGTGATCTTGTTCTGGTGATATAATCTCTATGGAATAAGTGTCTTAAGCCCTATTATGTTATTTGCAAAGCGAAATTAAGTAGAACTGAGTCACTTCAAAGTTGCAAACACTTTTCATGCAATAATTTCGGGCTTGCCTCATATTTCACTGACATATAGTAGCCTATCATCTCCGAAAAATGACTTAGAACACTCGCGAAGAATTTAAGGATGATAATACCTAGAAGAGTGCTTTTACCAAATGAGCTTGCCGACAAAGAATATACCATCATGAGAGACATTTCACCGATTCTCAACGAATTTTGAGTTCAGAGAGTTGCTCCTTTGTGATTTATGTGCCATATATTCCTGGATTTTTTAAAACCGGGTTAGCAAAAAAAAAAAAATAGCTATTATCCACTACTTGGAAATTTAAAACAATGAAAAAATAAATAGTGACAGTGGTCCCCGTTTACAAGGAGGGCGATGATACTGATTCAAAAAAGAATCGCCGAAAGGCCATTTTAACTGGGCTGCCAAGGGGCAATTTAAACCAGATCTATCACTCATCACATCGACTGCAACTCCAAAAACGTCATCTACATGATACAATAGGGACCTTAAGCATCGACACGAAACGGACGACTACGACGCTTCGCAACCGAGGCAGACTGGGCTAAGGGTTTCGTTTTCGGCGGAAAATACGAAGTTTAAACAGTGCAGTTTCCCAGACAGACGACGACTTTTTCTTTGCGAAGAAGTTTGCCTTATTTGTTACAGTCTAGTTATGGCATTCAAAGACCTCCGTAATTTACATCTTATAAGCTATGACGATGGTTTAATCGACGGTGGCAAATTTATTGTTCTTTACGACCTGTAATGATTGTGGAGGCTTTCTCCTTCTCGCGAGATTTTGTTTTTGTTTTGAAGTTAAAAGTGAATACCGATCTCGAACAGCTCTTGACTTGCAGTTACTCTTAATTTCGGCTGCTGAGGAGAATTCAGTGCTGCTGCAATGTTCTCCCATACTTATCCTCTCTCAAGGCTCCTCATAACCACGTACATCCTGTTCCGGAGTCCACTGGAAATTTAAGAATTTGTTCATGCTTAGCGTGCGTATATCGAGTTATGGATGCACGCGGGAAGTTTGGAGAGCACCAAAGATGCGTAAGAGTTGCACGAGGCGATAGCCGAGTGCAACTCTAGCTCCTTGAGTGCTCTCCAAACTTCCCAAGTACATCCATAACTCGATATACGCACAGATAAAAGCATGAACAAATTCTTTTATAACATAGCTGACAAAAATGCTTGCTTTTTGATTAACTGCAAAATTCTCGTAACGCGCTACACAATAACAAACGGTTCTATCGGCTGGCACGAACACGCCACAATCGTCTAGTTTGAATGAAAACATTCTTTCTGTAAAACTGAGAAAGAAAATTTGCTTCTTTATTCGTTAACGATCAATGGAAACTAAGCAGAAAGAAAGGTAAAAGAGTTTTAAAGTCCACTTAAAGTTAAAATACTAACATGTTCGTAAGAAGTCGTGGAGTAAGGTTTGCATTTGCTGAAAAGATGTTTACGTTTTGCTCGGCGAAATCCACAAAACATGTTTTTAGCGAGGACGACTGTCATCCTTCTTTAAACTTATATTCATTTACGAACATTGGCTGGTCATTACAGCTTCTTGAGAAGACCTGGCAGCAGTTGTTTTGGTGAGTAATAAATTTATGTCTTCTTGTGTAATTTGTGTTGTTATTGCGAGAGAAATTTTCCCGCTTCAGTCGGACTGTCCGGAGATAACAAAAGTGCATAACAAATTTAAAAGCAACAATAAAAACGGAAATTTTACCCTTAAATGTTGTTGATGACCAGTTGGTGTTTGTTCTGTTCCCAGTGAATGTCTTTCGGCCAAAATTTGCTGTAGCTGGTCTTCCGACAAATTTGCGAAACGCGCAACTTGCGAGTTTTTTTTAAATTCGGCTTTATTTTTGCTGCTTGTTGGATCAGGACCTAAAAGGTCAATGCCGATAGAA